CTTCCTTTCAACTTTTTGCACCTCTATTGCCCCTCTTCATACGATGACTGTGTCGACTCGCCTCTTTCCAAGATTCGACCGAGAGGAACGTCTTCTCGATCATACCAAATAGCAAACTTCTTTCGCAAGTTGCCAGTCAACTTTTCATGAGGATCCAATAATGTTTTTCCGGGATACTCCATTTGCCATGGTTGATATGGTCTTGGTTGAAGCCACGGGTTTGAAGTCGCGAGATCCACATAACCGGAATCATCTTCCAGTTGATTTGCAACCGTTGCTGATAGCGTTTGTCGATCTGTGCGTTCTTGCTCTGACAAGATAGTGCTGACTGTTCTAGAATGTTCCGGTACGCTTTGCTGCAATAGGAACCGTTCGCGGCGATTGAGCGGACGGAATTTGGTAGCTGTTTCATTGTAAATCGATTCCAAATCAGATGCTGATGTCATCGCTGAAACAACGCTCTCTTCCTCGCAGGCACTCTCATATTCTTGCTCATTTTTAACGATCGATGAATCGTCGGAAGGACGAGAACGAAGAGTCACAGCGCTTGCCCCAATTTCATCATCGTCTGCTAATCCAGATCTTCGAAAACGTTTCATATTGTTGCCTAGGACTACAATACGATTTGTAAACTATTAGAATTTGTGAGCCGTGGTATCATTTATGTACGCATTTGAAAACAAACGCGATTGTGTCATGCATTACCATTTACCATACCGGTATTTTGGATCATGATCATGGTTTGACGCGACTGAGCCGAATCACGAATCAAACTGTTTTACAGCAGGCCAGACGTCGAACCGAAACGATCGATTTCGAGATTGAAAATGTCAACAACAGCGTGTACCTGGTACACTCCTTTGACATTGCAACAGCCATGGCCAACGACGAGACTACGAAGAAGCAGAAATGGTTTCCATTGGAATCGAACCCAGCATTGATCAATGGATACATTAATAAACTTGGATATGACACATCACTGTATGAGGTACGTATAGTGTCAAGATTGTGTGATCAATTTTATGGCACGGCTGGCATTGGGAACACCTTTCTGTTCCGTTTGTGTGTACAGGAATGATGAGAGTACCTTAAACTAACATTCTATGCTTTACTCTTGCAGTTTTGCGATGTGTTTTCTACTGAAGATTGGGCACTGGAAATGATTCCCCAGCCAGTTGCCGCAGTTCTCATGCTCTACCCTCTGACAGAGAAGCAAACAAGTGCGGTTGGGGATGATGTTGTGGCTACAGAAGAAATGAAAGATAGAGTATGGTTCATGAAACAACGGATAGGCAATGCATGCGGCACCATTGGATTAGTTCACGCCCTTCTCAATGCTCCAGAAGCTCTGAAAGTATTTGAACCGGATTCCTGGTTGGCTAAGTTTGCTGAGGATACTCCTATTCCATTGTCTCCAGTTTCCAAAGCTGAAAGATTGGAACAAGATTCTAAGATTGCCAAAATGCACGATGCTGCCACAAGTTCTGAAACCAACGCTACCAGTCGTGGCAACATAGATGACAAGATCCTGACACACTTCATTGCCTTGGTTTGCGTGGATGGGAAATTATACGAGTTGGATGGGCGCAAAGAGGGGCCAATCTGTCATGGACCAACGTCTCAAATGACTTTGCTGAAGGATGCATGCGGGGTAATCAAAAAATTCATGGCTCGGGATCCTACTGAAATGAGATTTACAATAACAGCACTGGCGCCAAAACAAATGTGAGAAATACGCCTGCGTCATACTAGAGGAATAGAGGTGACCCAAAACCATGTACTACAGTATTCCTCAGTCCTACGATAATATGGTTTCCATAAAAAAACACGACGGTGTCGGCAATAGGTAGACGGTAGCAGAGACGCGTAAAATACCTTATCATAGGTGGGCACACCAACGAACCAGAAAATCATAGTATTTGTACTTCTAAATTATCACAATACATTTCCAAGGAATGGAGCCTGTATCAACAGCAGTGCTGTTGGCTTTTATTGCTCCAGGTTAAGTTTTCTTGCCACCTTAAAAATGTCCACCATTCGGCTCTTAGAATTTGAGAGCTTGCCGTTGCAGCATGACCGCTTGTCGGGTTGCCGACGAGCGCTTCATGGATTCTCGTAGCTTCTCGATACCTGCTTTGTACAACCGATCCAATTCTGATGCGCTTTTGTTGGTACGGGTGCTGACATCAGACGAGACGTTATTATGATAGGAAGTGTCCATTGATTGGAAAGGCGCCGTTACCTCGAGTTCTACGTCGTGAAGCTGTTCCTCGAAGGCATGAGCGATAGGAATGGGCTCGAAAGGCTCGCCTTGGAAAGTGGCTGAAAGAGACTTGAATGTTGGTGTCACAATCGATGGAGATGCCGAAGAATGCCTGGAAGTATTTGCACTGATCCCAGGTGGCATATCGAAGTCGCACATATGGACGAGAGTGTCCACCATAGTACTATCGTCTTGTTCTTCGAAGGCGGCTACAGTGCTCATGGATGAATCGCTTGAAAGATCTGGTGGATACTCATCAGTCATCTTGTGCTCAGGAATATTAAAAGGCTCGAGGGTGAAATAAGAATTCATGATGATGCAAAGTGATCAGAAGCAAGAAAATGTAAAATTGTGAGCCAAGGGTTTGGATGCCAAATGTGAGGAATAAAGAGGAACAAAATTTCTGCCATGGAATTTGTGGGGGCGCCGGAATTATCTGAAATGCGTTTAGTTAGACCTCATGTGCTACTGAAGTTCTCCCAAAGGAGGTTCCTATATGTTTCAAATACCGCAAGTGGATCTTCATCTCTTGGCTTTAAGTGCTCTTTCTCTTCCAGATTTGCTAACATGAGAAGTGCGAAATTCAAAATCTGACGTGTTGGAGGAAGCAATTAGTGTTCGTAGAATTTCAATAAATGTCAAAAAGGGCCAAACCGAAGCATGGGGATGACTTATTGTTGAAGGATAAAAAATCGGAAAATGGCCGTCACGAAAACATCCTACAGTACCAGGTACAACACGAGAACAGCGTTAGCACAGCAAGAGGTCATGCGTTCGGCGGAAAAGGGTGACGCGATTCATTCTAGGGGTGGCACGGAATCGATTTCTATCACCCCCTTTCCCTCAGATGAGCGACATATGACACCAGTATCAATCGTAGTAATGTCGTCGAAAGAGGAGGTAAACCATAAAATTATACCTACAGCAGGTTGACAAACCAAAGTAAACTTGCTTAGGCAATAATTTCGTAAAATATTTGTGCTTCTTCTAAGTTATCATATGTTTCTAAAGAATGAAACCTGTATCAACAGCAGTGCTGCCCTGTTGGCTTCTATTCTCCCAATTTCGGGTGGAATAATTGCCCCAGCCAAATTGGTGGCCATTTTTCGGCATTTAGACTTTGAGAGCTTGCCATTGTCGCATGACTGCTTGTCGGGTTGCGGACGAGCGCTTCAGGGATTCTCGCAACTTCTCGATACGTGCTTTGCACACCTGATCCAATTCTGCGGCGCTCTTGCTGGTGCAGGCACTACTAGCATCAGACGGCGAGACGCTACGAGAGGAAGCATCCTCCGTTGATTGGAAGATCGGCGCTGGCTCCAGCAGTGGGTGAAGTGGATCTTCGAAGGCAACATTATGAGCGATATCA